AACTGAAGTCATAATACTCAACAAATACCTAGAAAATTATACCTCAATATATTATCCCAAAAGGCAACGGGGGCCATTAGCACGTTGGAATGGACACAATGACGGACCCCGTGAGTGCAGAGCGTCCAAGAGAAGATATTATAGTGCCTCTGTAAGAAACTGAACCTCTCTTGAAGTTCTTCGACCCTGAAAACAACTTCCAGCTCGCCAATCATCACTGCCTTGGAATACTCAAACACATGAAGTGGGGGATGACCGTGTGTCCAAGAGCCCAGGACATGCGACTCCACTAGAGTGTCGATGAACAAATTATCCGCAGCTCTTGTCCTACGGTTATCGTACAACATATTGTCTTGGGAAACGAGACTTGAAAGGCGAGGCATTTTTACGAATACGACTCAAAAAAAGGATATATGTAAGAAACAGTTTTATGCGGAACAAAATGGATACACAATGCAAGTTATTTATAGTGGGCAACAAGCTTTGCTACTGCCCATGACATTGCATACAGTATAAAATAAATACAAGTTGTAAAAGGCATTTTTTACATGCTAAAAAAAAATGAACAATAAACACACACACCCAACTTACGTTAGTCGTCAGTCTCATGATGTGGAAAAAAAAAAAAAAAAAAAAAAAAGGGAGATTTTGCACAGTGTAGAATCTAGCATGAAAAGCCCACATTTCTTGGTTGTAATGTAAAGGCTATTGTCCATGCCAATCAATCTGACTGAATAGTTTGTCCTTGGTATGCATACATATGCCAAACAGGTTCAAAGTGTTGGGATCTGTGAGGATCTCGTTATGTACGAGTCACGAATTCAATAGCAAACGTAAACCTATGCGCAGCGGATCTAAAGGTTTGACGTAGAGAACTTACGGCTTAAAATTTATGTAGATCTGGTTGACCACGAACGGTTGACCGCAATTGATTGACCGCAACACGCGTCTTGGGTTGCAGGAACAAGATCAGATCAAAATCGGATCAAACGGATGCAAACAGATCAAAACGAAACTTGCAGCCTGGGAGCTTCCGGCGGCGCGTGAGGGCGCGTCCGGCGTCGGATTCCGACGATCTTGGCAGCGATGGAAAGCTCTCGTCGAGACGGACGTCTGGGTATACTGTACGTCTCAATCGGACTTCCGGTTAGTTCTGTAGGTCAAAATATATTTCGTCTCGGTTTACCTACAGATCTTCTACTGTATTACTCAATACACCCTTCTTCAACTTGTACCAGTGGAGCAACAAGAAGAAGATAAAGCTCGAATGAGATCTAGAGAGAGAGGCGTGTTTCACATGAGAATGAGACTTCTGTTCATGAGCTTAATGATGTATATATAGAGCTACAGTAGGGACCCTAAGGAGATTAGGAAAATGGCTCCTTAATTAATTAGACTAACTGTGTGCCAAACCCACTCCTCTAATTAATTAAATAATATTAATGGGCCACCAACATTATATTATTGCACTCCCTTTCCCTAGCCCAAATTACATTTGAGACTCCAATAATAATTACTCGATTTACCTCTCCACGTTTAAGATATAATGTCCATTAATTAATTCGATTACTGACAATCAAGAATTAATTAATTTATTATTATTTCACCGAAGCTAGCGCTCGTTCATCACATTCTTATTATGCCGGAATTTAATCCACCTGCAGGGTTTAGCATAACAATCCTTCATGAACTCACTCCGGGGACATCATCAAACTAACGCACATGGTGACCGTAAATATCCTAACAGCACATCCTATATATAATAATATTACCCAAAACAGTAGGAATATTAATCCAGCGAACTGAACCTCACCCATGTGAATCAAAGTAATATATATTTTATTTATCTGCCTGTTTAATATCTTACGGGTTAAGAGAACGCAGTAATTAATCGAGGCCTAGTTCATTTACGACGATCAGTATAAAATGAACTTCTCCTCTCTGGGATCCTGTTCAATACATAAATGTACTAGTGCAACTAATCAGTCAAGACAAACTGTACAGTTGACACTACAACCGTTCGGATGGGGTGTTCATGTCCATCTAAGTTGTGAACAACTATTCTTGTTCGCAAGTAACTGACAGAGTGATCTTCGGTTCGCCCGATGACGACCCACCCTATCTAAGTGCAGAACAACAGAACGTAGAACTTGTTTAATCTAACATGATTCTCATTCATAAAGGGTAAATGTGCAATATCATGCAAAGCCAAGCTTTCACTATATAACACTAACACAAAGGTTGCATCATTATCTTGTTGAACACAAAAAAATAAGGCTGCAACAAGTAAAAGATAAAAAAATAATGAGAAAAGAAATATCCGAACAGCGATGTGTTCGAAGAAAGGGCAATAGGTTGGATTTAAAAAGGTATAAAATTTTCTATGGAGTTAAGTAGGGGTAATTAGGTAAATTGTGTTGTATATCCTATTATGTATCACCTATATCTATATTTATTAATATATAAAGAGGGAATGATAGTTTTTTGAAAAAATCAACTAAAAAATCAGTAAAAAAAAAATTTCAATTCTCGCCTAAAGTTTACAGGAAGATTTTTCGCAAAAAAATGAACAAGCCCGCCCACTGTGCATTTCGAATTTTTTTGAAGATTATTTTCATTGATTTTAGCAAGATATGGTGAGATTTTTTTGCTAAATATTTGTAGTTATCTTAATAAAAAAATTGACCGAAAAACTAATAGAATCCTATCTATATAAATACACGGACGCAACAACAAAAATTACAGAGAAAAAATCCTATCTATATACATATCATCTTCTCCTCCGCCGAGATCGCCGCCGGCGATTGCCACGAGCTCTCGGTCCAGCGAAGCCACCATCTCCGGCTATGTACATCAGGGACATGTCAAACGGGTGTCGGACCGAACGTGCTGGACATGGCCATGTCGATCCGGGTGATGGCCATGTTGGGTGCCGGGCGGACCGAAGGTGCTGCATACACAAGCTGAAGAATTTCATTAGTGATAGCCATGTTAGGGACGGCTGGAGAAGGAGGTGCAATGCTCGACTGAGCCCGACCAAGCTTCGGCTAGAAAGTTGTGCACGTCTGTTCGAGGCTGAGCTCCCAAGTGCCGGATGGACATGGGTGTTCTGAGGGTAGATGTTGTTGCTACTGACCGGAAGAGACGAAGAAGATGACGTGCTGGCCGGAGAAGACGACCGGAAGTTGCAGGAAGGCCGGAGAAGATGACCGACACATTTGTGGCAAAATTTTTGGGCAGAACAATTGGGCGACATGTTTCGTGTGACGCGACCAAGTTGAAGTGGACTCCCCACGTAGATTGTGCGTGAATATTACACCGGACTGAGCGGGCTGGAACGAACGTGCTGGCCAAGACGGCTTGAACGGATAGACGCCGGAGGCGAGTTGCTGGCCGAAATTCTGTGCGGGCTGCTGGAGATGAATGAACTCACCATGACTGGTTGCCTCTTGCGCAAAGGGCTGAGTGAGAGTGGCGTCGGACATAAACGATTCACGCCGTTGACGGATTTTGGCCAGACATGGCTGAAGGAGGCTTGCGGGAGGGTGCCAGGTCAGAGGAACGACTGCTGCTGCACGGAGAAGATGACTCTTGCTGGAGAAAAAAGCGTGACTCTGGTTCGAGAAAGGAGACGTGCGTGTTTCTGCTCAGAGACGTGCGTGAACGGTTTTTCTGTTTGAGCAATAAGAATTTGTGTACGCGTGGGAGTTCTGGATATTAGGAAAGACATCTCCAACTTCCAATATGTTGTTTCCTTATTTATTTATTTTTATTTTTATTGTCATTATTCATTTAATATGACTAATATTTGTTTATGGGATTTACATACTAATTGTTTACTGTATATGATAATTAATTATTGTTATTCATAGCATAGATTATTATGTACGATAAATATATAATATGAATAATATTTATTTATGAGATGTGCATATTAATTATTTAATGTGTTTAGTAACTAATTTATTGCTATTGATAGCATAGATAATTAATTACGGTAATTATTCAAAATATTAAGATTTTTTTTTCATTATTTTTTGTACATGAACAATATTACTTTTGAAAAATCTCCACCACGCAACAATTGGTTGTAGGAATTTATCAAACTACAACACATTTTTATACAATCGAAGAAACTTTTCAATTTTTTGTTTAAAATATCACACCATCAATTAGGTGTCTATATTTATATAATTACAACACATTCTTACGAATTTGGAAAGAATACAAATCTACGTGGACGGTTTAAATTACCTTCTTCGAGTTTGAAAAATATCCAAATTTATATGGATGGTTTAAATTATTTTTGTCAGATAAAATTGTCATAAATCATATATATATGATTTTTTTTATGAGATAGGATAAATTCTAAATGACCTATTTGAATTTTTAGAAAATTTAAGACAAAATTACACAATTCATTGTGCACATCGGATAGCAATTGTATAGATTTGATCAAGATTTTGTTTCACTAATATGTAGAACATATTAATGGCATTTTAACATTTATCCACAAAGTCGAAAACCATTTATTAGAATTTTCAAAGTACACGATTCTTAATGGCATTTGAATATTTATCGACATATTCGAAAATCATTTATTAAAATTTTCAAAGTACACGATTCTTAATGGCATTTGAACATTTATCCACATAAATATTTTTGCAACCTTTAATTAAATTACAAATATTTTTAAAGTAAAATTTCATAACATTTATAAAAATAAATCACATCAAATATTTGTTTTGACATTATCACCTAACCTATTATCACAACTACTGTTTAATATATCTCAAAAACTATTTCCTGGACCAAAAATATATAAAAATATCTATATATATACATATATATAGAGAGAGAGAGATAAATATTTTTATTTACTTGAAATATAGGCTAAAATCCCGCCTAAATTTTTTAAAATTATTAAACTTAGCAATTTCTTTTGACAAAATTCGAAAAATCCCGGCCAATAGAGCTTTAATTTCGGATTTCAAAAATATTTTGATTTTATTTTAGGGTAATTTTAATTTGTTAGGGAAACATATTTACCTATTAATTTCAATATGAATAAATATCATCCGTTAATAATTATCACAGCCACAACATTCAATATCCATTCCAATTAATATCACTTAGCCGCAACATCCATATATAAAATTGAAAACAGATATTCTCATTAATTTTGATCCCAAAATTCTATCCCCAAGATTTTTATTTTTCATTTTCAAAATTGTTATATTAAAAAAGTCAAAGTGATAGTTAATAATGACACTGAAATAAAAAATATACAATTTATGCTAGAGGCTTATACATTGGTGCAATGTAAATTTTATGCCTAACAAACCGATTTGATTCAACTAAAATTGTTATTGTGTTAAAAAAA